ATAACGAGAAAACGGTTAGAAAAAAGTCAGTAGGCTTGTTTTTTTCTCATTCAAAAATTTTAAAAATCCCATCCATTTACTTTTAGAGCAGAGCAATTTTCAGCAATCATGTGACTTTTTTATTTATAAGACTTTCACATACTGTCGGCGAAGAAAATATAGCAGAAATATTAAGAACGTATTTGAAAAAACTACAATCAATTGTTTCTAATGGATTTCGAGATATCGCTTTTGGAATTCTAATAGCGCGACCACTGTCGAACACCAACTTAATTCCACTTATTTTTACCAAAAACGCAAGTGTTTCTTACTTGCACTGAAAAATTTATAAGCAATAGGAAAAATTACGACTCGTTAATAAATAAACAAATAAAGTATCACGAGACCTAATTAAACCGTGAAGCTGAGCGCATGATGTACACATTTTCCTAGAATTTCAAGCACTGATTGGGTCGACCGGTCGACCGCGACGAATCTGCTATCCCCTTCCACGTCTCTTAGCAATATGCATAGTTTCTCGGTTTATTTTATACGTTTGGCAATGTTTTTACTGTTCTCTCTTTGTTCAGTACATTATAAACGCATTGCACTCTTCTTACATACGGAAATATCGACCCAAGACTAACCTTTGCCAGCCCTTGTGCCCAGTGTACTTTTTCAAAAATCCGAAAAGCGCATATATTTGACCTCACAAAACTGCAATGCTTTACCATTTTGAGCGACTCTTTAGCTCCAGTATTTTCCGAGATATGCATAGAAAACATCGTAGCAAACTCACCCTCAAATCCATATGATGTATAGCATATGGATTTATCAAAGATATAGAACCAACAACAGACTTCCATATCCAAAAATAGATAAAATAATTCTTCCATACGCATTCAGTAAAGACTCCCACACAAACAGAATTCCCAAGACATCCATGCCTCAACAATGACCACTTTTTTAGCTCAATTTCGTATCTTTCTCCAATCAGAGGGTCGGCTTTGTATCGCGGTGGCAAAATAAACGCCGCAGCCACTATAATTGAATGTATGTCAGATAGCGCTAGGAGACTATTAACGGCCTATTCAACGCCGCAGGACTCCTGGCTGACATTCGATACATTTCCTGCAAAGGGAGGGGTTGGCTCTATCCGGAAGTTCTACGAGAGGGTAAGATTTTACGTAATATTGTTAAAGTTATTAGAGTCGACAAAGATGTGGAATAACTAGAACTAGTAATACAGGGTGTTTCAAAAAACATACGCCATCTCTCTTGGGAAGATTCCTCTCGTAAGATTAAGATTTAATTTTTTATATCAACATACTTTCTGCTTTGTTTCGTATTTACAATGGGTTAAAGTCTTCATTTTTTTTCGATTTATTATAATTTTCTTCGAAGTACTTTTAGCGATTCCAATGAATTTTTGAGGGTGCGACATATTTTAATGCTAAAAAATATTCACCAGGAACATGTACATGGGTTACCACTAGAATATTTTTCTAAAAAAAACATGTGCGCCTCTGACTTTTATTTCTCTTGTTGGCAAAATTTTATAGATTGTTTAATGCCGATTAAAATTTCTCTTGATATTTTGTCGATTTCGTCCTCCTTAATGAGATAAACGCATTATTGTTAATTTGGCTTAATTCAACTTAATTCAATGTTCAGTGACATTTTTTCGTGATTTGTCCTTTGCCAGAAATATATAAGTACATACATAGGTATATTGAAAGATTAATTATTGGTTTTCTTTGTGTTAATAAATATCTGACAGAATTTTTGGTTATTACATTAATTTAGTGAAAATGAAAACACTTATAAGTTTTTACTTTTTATTAAAATCACTTTTGAAATTTTCTGTTTTTAGTTAAAATGGAGTGGAATAATGAAATGATCATGGAATATCAAACTGGGAGATCAGAAAAAAAAAATATTTCCGTTTGTTATAAAATCGTTGATATCATTGTTATTTAAAAGCCTATATGTATAATTATCTAAAAAATCGAAACACAATTTACATTGCTTTTTTGAACGATATAGCATGTTCCTATAGCTTCTGTTTTTTTTTCAGTAAAGTGATTTAAAATTATAATTATTCTATATTATAATGGTTTCGTTTAAAGAAAATCGTTACCATGACAAATATTCAAACTTTATAAGTATATATTATATATAGAATATTATTTTATATTCATCTATATATTGAATTATAAAGATTTAAATAACTCTATTTAAGAAACTGGAAGGTTTAAGTATAGGACATGATATATCGTTGAAAAGAAATTTTCAATTAATAATAGTATTAATTTAATTAATAATTGGTATTTTGATTTTTTAAATAATATACACAGGGTTGGATTTAAAATAACAAAGATTACAATTGCTCAAGTAAAGAGTACGTATGACACTGAGTTAATTTCACAAATGTAGCGCCAGGTTTGCATCCAACGTTGGAACCAACGTTCGAAGCATCGTGTAGGAGACACATTTGCCAATTGTATATTGTCGAAAACTGTGTCAAATGTTGGTTCGAACGTTCGTTCCAACGTTGGACGCATCGTGTAGGACCATCTTAACTCGAGCGAAAATTCGCGAGTACTCGATTATTGAAATAACCGACATCGCTCGATTATGAACGAGCGATGCAAATGACGAGTTACGAGCGACGAACGCAAACGATTCTAAAATGAAATAAATTAAAATCCAATTTTAATTGACATACTCGATACAAAGCTGACCGAGTTTTCTACATACATTGCAGATAGCAAATTTATACGACGTTATCTGTTGCGTCTCTCTCTCAAAATTTATTTAAAATACAATTTTTTTTGTAATTATCCTAAATGCCGTTATTTTTTATTAAAATGTATTGTAAATAGCACTAAATATCAGTATTATAAATATTAATAAAATTGAATAATAAATTTGCTAACAAGAGAAATAAGTCAGTGGCGTACATGTTTTTTTTTAGAAAAATGTTCCAGTGATAAGCCTTATGTACGTCCCTGGTGAATATGTCGACAGTTTTTTAGGATTAAAATATATGGCACCTATAGTAACTTCTACCCTCAAAATTTCATTCAAATCGCTAAAGGCACTTGGAAGAAAATTATAATAAATCGAAAAAAAAAAGAGTTTAAAGACTTTAACCCTTCTAACTACGAAACAAAGCAGAATCGGGCCTATGTTGATATAGAATTTATCCCTTTATAAGTTGATGGTATCGCTAAATCGACCACTTTGACTTGACCAAGTAATCAGTAGCGTGGAAGTGTATTATCGCCCAGTTTGTTTGCTATGCTTATTTCTATGCGCGCCATGGCCATTTAATCAACCATTTACGTTGGCTGAATTAGAGCGAAAAGTCAAAGCGGTTGAAATTCGACCAGTGAGAATTGGTGACACTGAGTTTGCTGTGTATCATATAGGTAATAATTGTCGTCTAAGCATTTTCTATGCAAATTTCGTGTAATAAAAATTTAAAAATACAGCCAATATAAATTTGATAGAAACAAATGTATCTGTGACGTTTATTTCTTTTTATTTAGTGTACCAAATTAACGGCTCGGCTAATATTTTCTAAAATCGTTAACATATCCTGTATATTTTTGATCATTTCTCATAGGATGCGATACCAGGCGAGAAAAGTGAAAAATAGTTATTTTTTATACAAGACGATATAATGGTATTTGATCGTCGACCGGTGGAAGGTATTAGTTGCGTGAAAGTGTATTATCGCCCAGTTTGTTTGCTATGCTTATTTATATGCGCGCCTTGGTCATTTAATCAACCATATATACATATATGTTGGCTGAATTAGCGCGAAAAGTTAAAGCGGTTGAATATTCGACCAGTGAGCATTGGTGACACTGAGGTTGCTGTGTATCATATAGGTAATAATTGTCGTCTAAGCATTTTTATCATTTCTCATAGGATGCGGTACCAGATGAGAAAAGTGAATAATAGTTATTTTTTATACAAGACGATAAAATGGTATTTTATCGTCGACCGAAAAGATTAATTCACAAGCGATGAAGTCGCGAGTGAATTAATTTCGGGAGACGATAATGCAATTTTATCGTCGTGTATAAAACAGTACTTTTTTCCATAGCGAGTTACGTTTTAAAAAATATTCAGAAATTATTATTTCAAGGAATTTATTACGAGTAGAAAAAATATTGTGCTGGGTTGGCGTTGGTTTCTATGTAATTTGACAAATAAATAAAGCTGTCTCTTTAGTTGTCAGTTTTGAGTCAATATTTTTTAATTCTCTTTCGTGTCGATTGCTGATTGAATTGGAGCCAGAAATGGCTCAAAACGAAATAAGTAAATTACCAACAGATATTCAGGCTGAGGCGACAAACTATTTCCATTTAAATCCCGAATAACTTATGAAAAGGAATACAAAAATTTTCAAAAATGAAAGGAATTAAAAACGTGCGAGAAGAAATAAAGTTTTTAACCTATGCAATTTTAACTCTATTTTTTTTAACCCTTGCGGTTAAAGTACTATTTTATCTATTTTACTATTTTTGATAGATATAAGGCAATTTTAACAGTTGCTATGAAAAAAAGTTAATAAATCAAAAATTCGACTGTTTTTAAAGGGGTATATCCAGAAAATCGACAATCGAAATCTTTCAAATTAAATATCTCCGAAACTATGAATTTTCGAAACACAGTTTAAATGGGGCGAATTTTACATTCACCCCATTTAAACTGTATTAGCTCTACTAGCTCTATCGGTAGAGGCCTCATTGAGGCCTCAGCTACTTACCGTTTCCGAGAGGAAACATCTTATTTTTTATTTACAGCAGAGGGCATAATTTAATGTAACGACCAAACGCCAAAATATTCGAAGTGACTTCCACGCTTAATTTCAACATTAACACCTTAAAAATTATTTAAAATCATAAAAAAAAGTCCCATAAAAAACTCACGAGATTTAATATCTCGACCGGACTAAATTGTGTATTTGGGTCATTTTATTTTATATCCTAGTATTGATTTCATACCTGTTTTAACTTGATATTTTAGAGTTGTGGCACAATCGTTAACGAGCTGTTGCAGAGAAACACCTTGGTCTGGAATTCTCAGGTCCAAAAGTTTCTGCATCTCCTCTGGATGATGGAAATCCAGAATTTTCTCATTCCTGTCGTTGGTCGAACGTATGAAATCTAGCAGAACCTCTACCACTTTCTGAAGGAATTCCCTCGTTTGCGCTTCGTTTTCTAACTTGTAAGGGAGAATATCTAGAAAATTTCAATAGATTTTATTAATTGAAATTTATAGAGTATCACAGATAAAGTCCGAATTATATAAGATCTTTTAATTGATTTATGTCAAATTTTACTTTTGCATCAGTTTTTTGTTTTGAGATAGATTAAAAATTACACAATAAAATATAAACCTATTGATCTTGGTATTCCTCAAGTTTGGTCTTTACGTTAAACTGATTAAAAATTACAATAAAATATAAACCTATTGATCTTGGTATTCCTCAAGTTTGGTCTTTACGTTAATAAATGAATAACAAATGAGTTTATTGCTCGAATTTTGAAAAACTTTATATAATTTTTTTTCTTTTTAATAAATCAGCTATGTAAATAGCATATTTTTTTCGTCTTTTTTTACTAATAACATTTAAAGAAAGCGTCCATTGTTCTCAAAAAGACCTGGTTTAAATTAAAAAGACACTGAGTATTTTGAGTCTTTTTTCTACCGAGACTTCTACGAGACTTTGAGTCTTTTTTCTACCTTTTTTAACTAATAACAGCCGTTTTTACAAGTAGAGACAAAAATAACTGATAGTGGTCCATTTGTCAGTCCAATATTTATTTAGTGGTCATTTATTTAACTAAATTTATTAAATCAGTTAATATTTTTTAAAAAAAATTAAATTTAGTTAGGTTAGGTTAGTTTGCCTTGATCCAAGTCCAATAATATATAACAAATTTAACATCATTAACTTGCGAAAGTTTTAAATAAGTACTGGTCGATTCCTCATAAAAAAATATGAAAAAAAGTTCCTATAAACATGGGTATGGAAATGCATAGTTTTAGAGTTACAGAATGCTAAAACTTTTTAAAATTAGTTTTTTTGTAATTATCTTAAATACCATTATTTTTTTATTTGAAATTGCTGTAGGTTGGCTAATAGTAATAATAATAAATGGTAATAATATTTAATAATAAATTAGGTAAAATATATAATTTATTAATTTTATTTTAATTTTAATTTTATTAATTGTGATTAAGAAAATTACGTTTATCTCATCAGGGATGCCGAATTCGACAAAATATCAAGAGATAACTTTTAATTGACATTAAACAGCCTACACAATTTTGATATCAAAAGAAAAAAAGTCAGTGGCAAACATGTTTTTTTTTTTTGAAAAATATTCCTGTAATAACCGCCAGTCCCTGATGAATTTATCGACACTTTTTTAGCATTAAAATATGTAGCACTGATAGTAACTTTTACCCTAAAAATTTCATTCGAATCACTAAAAGTACTTGGAAGAAAATTATAATAAATCGAAAGATTATTAAGATTTTAACACCCTGTAGCTACGAAACAAAGCGGAATCCGACCTATGTTGATATGAAAAATAACTCTTATTTTTACGTGAGGAATCTCCCCACGAGTGATGGTACATGTTTTTTGAAACACTCTCTATATGTAAAATTAAAAAAAAACATTTTCCAATTAAGCATTTCAAAATTCAGCCAGAAAACTAATTTATTAGTCATTTACTTTTTTAAATGTCAATTTTGACAGATACCCGAGTGCAACAGGTTAATTTTTGTCTCCGAAATAAAATTCATCTAAAGCAATAAATAAAAATTAGATATGATGCGGACTTTATCAGTAACATTAAATAAACATGTACTACTTGTTAAAATCATAATATTATAAACAGTTAAAAGAAAAAAAATAATAAACCATAATTAAAATTCCCTCAAACTACATCTAACTACATAAGTAACTTCTTTATTGTTGAAAAAGGTGCAAAAATAAAATGTATTTTTAAAAACTTAAATATATGTTTTAATTTTTAAATATACATGTAACATGTAATATATACAAAAATACCTGTAACATGTACAAATTTACATATATTATGTATTAAATTTTTGAAAATACTACATAAACCATTAAGACTAACCCTTTTCAACAATAAAACTAAATCTAATTTATCAAAACAATAATGATGGATGTGAGTACAGATTTCAATGATTTTTTCAATGTTTTAAAATAGTTTCACTCATTCTATTAGTAAATACGTCTATTGAAAAAGGCAGCCTTTTGAATGTTTATTAATTTACATCTTGTTCGTCGAATTGATTTTATATTTTTTATCAGTTGTGTAACAGCATCAACAATAAAGAAGACCTCGACAGAAAATCATACAAGCTTAGTAATATTTTTTCATAATTCATGCTTGTATGATTCTCATTTTTTTAAAAGAAAATGTAATTAAGAAATATTTATTTACTAGAAGGCACTTTCTCTTTGAAAAAACTGGGCAGGCCGTTCACAACCTTGTGAAGAAGTTCTCTAGCAACAGGAACATCCTCGGTATTGTAGGGTAGTATTTCTAAAAACAAATTTAATTCTAAAGTAACTTCGTATATTGTATTTTAAATTCGAAGTGAAGAGTTTAATATATTTAGAACAATAGAATAAGGTGTACAAAGTGAATGGTAAACTTTAATATGGTATCATAACAATATTTTGAGTAATAATTTTGTAACAATTATTATTTTCTAATGTAATAATCGTTATAACTTTGATATTAGTGTATAGATTAGGTGAACTTGTGTACAAATAAATCCACTTAAAAAATTCGGGCCTTGAATACTAATCTTAGTAGCCTTTTAACAAATATATACGGGGTGGTGTATCGTCGTTGGAAACATAGGAAACCCCTTGAAAATTTTGAACTGTCCAAATATTGGCTCCCCCATTGATTTTGCAGCTAAGTCGTAAATGGGTTTTTTAAAGGTCTGCGTATGCTAAATACACATGCCAAATTTGAACAATTTTGGACCAGCTGATTTTAAGTAGTTTAAGAAAAACTGCATCATATCAACATACAATCTTCTTAATAACAATACCCAGCAGAAGAAAGTGAAAAAGAGTACCTAATCCGTAGAGGAAGAAGTATATAATCAGTATATCAGCAACCGAGAACAATTATTACAATTCTACAAGAGTGTCACTCAGCTGACATATTGCTTTATTATTGTTTTTATTTACTTTTTATTATATTATATGCTTATTGATGCGCGGCATATCGACTTCATTTTTTTTCAAATAACAGATATAAAAATATCAGCGTACTGATATTTTTAGATCTGTTTTTTTTCGGAAGTACAACTCTTCTACGAGTGAGTCGATGGATTGTTATTCTCATATCAAAATTTTCGTTTTGAAAATTTGTTTTTTTTTTGTTAAACTTCTGCAAGTTGTAAAATAACAAATCGTAAAATAACAATTCGTCTCTACTCTTTATGAAATATAAATTGAAATTCAAAAAGTTTATGTAATAGTACACAATAATATTTTCAATATTAATCAGAATTTCCAAACATACCGGATGTTTCACAAAAGTGGCTGTGACTACTGACCCATATAACTTACTTAATTGACCCAACCCTTAACTAAAAACGAGATTTGATATGTTAATATATGATATAAATTAGGATTGATTGGCGTATTCAATTGTTTTCAGTCACTTCCTATTTCGTTGGAAATGACTACAACTTTTGATTTTTAAATGGCACCTTTGGTATTTTTTTACTTTATTCGATAGAAAATGGCACTCTGCATAGAATGACATATCACATGTGTGTGTAATCTAGAGTGGCTGTGTTGAAAAAATAGATTTGATTGTCTTATATTTTTCGTGACTTGTCCTGGCTGATTGAAAGAAGCCCAAAGCGTATTTTTAATTTTTTAATAATATCTCATTTTTTTGCAAATGAACCGAGGCTGGCTCATTAGCATATTTGGAAAAAGTATTTTTGACAAAAATGTCAAAAGTTGACATATGATATATGTCAACATATGATATGATATATGTCAACAGAGTGTGATTTTCTATCGAATAAAATAAAATCTTGAGTAAAACAAGATACCAAGGGTGTCATTTAAAAATGAAAAGTTGTAGTTATTTATGTGAAGTGACCGAAAACAATTGAATACGTCAATCAATCCTGGTTTATGTCATAATATATACGTGCCAAATCTCGTTTTTTATCTGAAAACATAAAAAAGTTATAGGGATGAGTCACTTTTGAAAAACACCCGGTACAGTCTTTTTTCGTAAAACATTTCATATTGAGTCTATACAAACAGTTTTTTCTCTAACCAAAAGACTCTTTTATTTGACCCAATGGGAAAAAGCCAGAGCAATTTTTCAAACTTAATCCTACTTCCCTACTTTATTTACTGGAGTATAGCCGGGAATTACCCTTGTCTCCGATGGTAAAACGGAAATATGCCCTAGAGAAAAAAGATTTTCCTTAACACGCGCTATTAATAACGGTTATAAATGGAAAACACAGTCAATTCTGTTTGAAAAATGACAGGCGCCTTTTTACGACGATAAACATAGCGTTTATCAAAGAAAAAGAATCATTGGTAGGAAAAACTCTGATAAATCATAAAAAGAAATTTGAATAAATATAGAGTAGAGACTTATCTAAAGTCTTGGGGAAGATCTTGAATATATTTTTAAACATTAAAAGACAGTGATTAAATGTCCGCATCATATAGGATTGTTTTGATTAATAGATTATGGACAAATTTGACTTTGGCGTTAGTTTTTGCTTTGTAATATATTAAAAATTACTTATTAAAACTTGACTTGTACCTAAGTTATCTGTTAAATTTGACTATAGCGCTAAATATATTAATTGACCGAATTCTGAAACTCGTTATTTGAAAATGTTATTTATTTTTTAATTTTACAAAAAAATATCAGTTTTGAAATAGCCGCCTACCCCAGCATCCTACAGGCAGAAATATATGCTATCGAAAGATGCGTACAACTTATCTTAGATATGAATTATTGGAAAAAATAAATAGGCCATCTTCTCTTATCTGATAATCAAGCAGTGTTCAACTCAATATCCATCAATTTGAAGTTGGTCCAAAAATTCCGAGAAAAGCTGAACAAATTAGTCAAAGAATATCGCTCTGGATGCCAGCCCACCAAGATAGAAGATAAGGAGGAAGAAAACGATCTGACTAAAAAGGATAAGCAATTGGTCCACTAACTGAACCAGAACCGTTCTGCTTCTAAAAAGGTACATTCAGGCTGAGAGCGTCGAGCGTCGCGTCGCGTTTGCGTCGCGTCCGCCCCATTGAACTCGACCCCCGACGCTCAGCGGACGCTAGCGCAACGCCAAACGCGACGCTGTCTGCCTGAATAGTCTAATTTAAGTAAAGTGAATTGATTCCATTTCGACACGCGGACGCGACGCAAACGTGACGCGACGCTTAACGCTCTCATCCTGAATGTACCTTAAGTGGAAACCAACTCAAAAACTTGGAAGGCTCCATCCGTAACCTGGAATGGGAATCCTACAACGGTCTAAGACACTCGAAGAAGTTTCTCAAGATTTACGACCAAGAAAAATCAAATATTTTCCTTGATTTAAGTAAGAACAATCTTTGGATTATCAAGGCATTTTTCATGATACTGTCTCCTCAACAAACAGCTCAGTAGATTGAAGGTAAGAAACAACGGGAAATGCAGATTCTTTGGGGAAAATGGGGAAACACCAGAACAACTCACCACTGAGTGCGCCGAGACGACAGCCATTCGTGCCATAAACTTTGGTACGACTGATATCTGACTTGGAGAACTAACCTCTGTAAAACCGTCTCAGATGCTGGCTTTTGTCAAAGCCCTGGCACTGTATGATAAATTATAATCCTGTAAGCTATATATAAGTTCCTCCCTCCCTTAAGTCCTATACTTCCTGTTTGAAATGAGTCGATTTTATTAAACTTGTCGAAAATAAGTATTCTACAGCTTTAAAACTTGTAAAGCCATAAATTCAACCATTATTAGAGGTCAATAGATGATGTTTCAGAATTTTTCAAATAATGCCAATTTTCTCAAAAAAAATATATGGTTTTTCTATAACTTTTATATCTATCACAATTTATTTTGCATATTATGTGAAAAACTGATTACACATTACACAAATACATGCAAGAGGTTACATATGCTTTGTAAAGAGCACATCACTTTAAGAAGATACTTTATAATTTTCAGTAGAAAATCTTTCAAAAAATATATTAATATAATATATCAATACTTTAATGGCTTCGGTAAAAAAGTATATGATTCTTTTTTATATGGTCTCTAAAATAAAAGTTTCGTCTAAAAATGTTGGAAAAACGATTAAAATGAAATTCCGGAGGAGCAAATGCGCCTCGCCTGCATTCTACGAGCAAGGAAAATGTTTTAAACGCGCCTGAGGGAGTTTTAATTAAACATCACTTTCCCCCTCGCGGCCAAATTTTAGACGCGTTACACAGACCAGAGGCGTACGTACCTCTTTGGCAGAATTAACACTAAAGTCTGCTTAACGAGTCAGGGAAGATTTCGACAGACGACATTCAAAAAACAACAGAAAATACATTTTCCTGCGAATTAAAATGACAAAGACAACTGTCATTGTCAGGAATCCTCTCGTTCGACAAACTATTTACCGGGTGTTTTTAAGTAGCTCAGCCCTATAACTTTTTTAATAACTTTTTTATCTTGACTCCGACCTTCTGTATACTTCCCGGTATATTTCTCTTTATTCGATAGAAAATGACGCTCTGAATAGAATGGCATATCATATGTCAACTTTTGACATTTTCGCATATGGTTTATTTGAAATTGTAACATGCGGTTCATAACGACAATTTGTGTGTGATACCAAATCATTCGTAAAAAATACTTTTTCCAAATATGCTAATGAGCCACCGTCGTTCTATTTGAAAAAAATGAGATATGATTAAAAATACGATTTGGGCATCTTTTGATTAGCCAGGAAAAGACACGATAAACACTAGACAATCAAAACTATTTTTTCAAGACTCATTGATTAAAAATTAGTGTTTTTAACACAACCATGGTTTCAATCTAGATTGAAATTTAAAATACGAATTTATGATCATCACATGATATATGATATGTCATTTATATTCAGAGTGCCATTTTCTATCGAATAAAGTAAAAAAAATGCCGAAGGTGTCATTTAAAAATCAAAAGTTGTAGTCATTTCCGGTGAAACAGGAAGTAACCAAAAACAATTGAATACGTCAATCAATCCTAATTGATATCAAATACTAACATACCAAATCTCGTTTTTTTTTATCTAAATAAATAAAATAGTTTTAGGGGTGAGCCACTTTGGAGATGCATCCGGTATACCTGGTGTTTTCAAAAGTGGCTCACACTTTTTGTCTCTAGCCTTAGTTCTAACGGATCCTAAGAAATACGGGATATTTTATATTGTTAGGGCTAATGAGTATTTAAAACTCGGAGTTTTAAGAATTTTCCAACTAATGTTTGACACGTTAAATTTG